TATATTATTATAATTATAATTATTATTTATTATCTACCATCATTACACTTCAGGTAGATCCTGATACCATTGCATAAAGTACGAAACAGTAAACAAAAACCAAACATAAATTATCTATTAACGTGATGTAGTTCGGTGAGTGTTGAAGGGTCATAAGCGAGAAACATTGACACAGCATAACATAAGACCACTATTCTCACCTCATCTGTGTTTAAGGTTGTCTTTTGACTTACTGTATATATTAATCTACTAACAGTAATAAATACGATACTTCCCTGGTTTGTCTGTGTCGTCTTTCCCTTAGCATACTTGAGAAATAGCCTCACGTGCTGTGGCTGGTGGCATTTTTTTTAAGTTTCATCTTTAAGTATCCAGAAACGTGGTCTTCCCAAGGTGATTTTATAATTCTGATTATTATTATTAGTAGTATTATTACGGTTTTATTATTATGGTTGTAGTTATTATTATAGTTAACCTTTTTATTTTATTTGCCAGAATAAATTAGTAGAGTTGAGGATTGATTTCGCCGCATTGAACGTTGAGGTTGATAGAGCGTGTGTGATCGCTCTGTCAATTTTACTCATCACAGAACGTTTCGCCTTAAGTTTAACATTCGGAAAAAAAACGTTCACATAACGATATTTATGAATAGATTAATTAATATTAATGATGCTGGGTAGATTCATTTGTGTAATTTTAGGTGTGTAGGTTTATAAAACTTTCCTATAGGTGCTTTTTTTTTTTTTTTTTACTAAGCGGCCAATAATATAAGTGACGTACAGTAGGCTAAGTTGGGCTGACTAATTATGGTTACGCGTGGCTTTTTAATCACATTTAAAATAATTATGATGAGTACATAGCTTATTGGGTTCCTGTGAATTGTTTTTCTAAATATGATTACGCTCGGGTTATCTCCTAATTTGTACATACTGTATACCACATACTGTTTTCCGTATAAGCATAACCTCCATATTTCTTCACGGTAAACATAATCAGAGCTCCAAGTCAATAAACCACCGAACAACCTTACATTCTCAGCTTACGCACAACCAGGAAGATGTCATAACCTACCAGTTGCCGTAATTATTTATTGTGGATAAAAGTTATATCTGCACATTAATTTTTAACATGAAATTTCACATGTCAGAAACTCTAAGATAAAAAAAATGGATATGAAGTACTGTACCATACTTCATTACGTCTCCTCGCCAGTCCACCTCAGTCCGTCTTGCTGCTCCCAGTAGGTGTGGGTGGGGAGAGGGGCATCCTATTTCCTTCAGCAGACAGGCGGCGGTATGGTAAACCGTAGACGGTGTGAAGGATTTAGGGAATGTGGTGTTGTGTGGTGGTTGAGGGTGGGTCCCTAGGGTGAGGAGGGCCACACAGAGGCCCTTACACCCCTCCACAAGGCCACCATTATGCCCCCTGACCTCGCCCCTGGCGCCCACCAGCCGCCCCGCTCTCACCACGAGTGCCACCACAGCCTCCACCAGCAGTAGTAATAACACTAATAGTAGTATCTGTTATAGTAGTACCGACACAACTTGCACTATTATTAATATTAGATGCCGCACCATCAACAGAAGAAGCAACAATAGTAGGTACTGCAGCATAATGCGTTAGTACAAGCAACAGCAACAGGGAAATCAGGAGGAGAGAGTGGAGGGGTCAAGTGTGGAGTACTGAGATAACGTCGTCACATCAATGGTTCCTACACCAACCAGGATGTTAGTATGAGGGGAAGAAGAGTGGGTGTTGTAGAGGGAGGAAAGAGTAAGTAGAGGTGTTGTGAAGGGGGAGGAGGGGTTGCAAGGGGAAAAGGTCGTGTTGGAGAGATAGCAGCAGCAGCAGGAGGCGGTAGGTGTGGGAGGCAGGCGGGAAAACGTTAGGCTATCGCGAAAACTAAAGTACGCATCGCCTGGGGTTGCTCGGCGCGCAATAGTGTTTTCAAAGTTCTGTTTATAATGTACAAATCCAAAACATTGTTAAGTTCACGATCATCCTCTACATCTACAGATAAAGTGTATTCTTCTCGACCTACTGTGACTTGTTGCTGGAAAAAAGTGCTTGAACCTTATTTGGAAATAATGCACGAGAGCATAAATAATGGCGCGATTGTTGGGTATGTAGAGATTACGAAACGCATGTATTTTTAAATATAATGATGAACATCTTTATTTACAATGTCCAAAATATTGTAAGCTTTTAATGGCAGTTAACTTGTAAAGGTTCACGAGTTAGCACCTACGTATAATATAATGTATTTCGGGAGGACTAGAGGAGCTCAGTTCGTATCCTGAAGTGCTTCCCACCATTTTATACGCACAAGTTTTTCGCTCAATAATTTCGTAACATGTATATACAGTAGTACTACTACTACTAATAATAATGCTAATGTAGTTGTAATAATTTTGTACTGTAATTTTAGTAGCAACGAAAATAATTATCAACTCCTCTGTTTACCAACCACCTTCAGAGTACAGCGTAGAAGGCTGGCGGACAAGGTACCGTGTATACAGTATCAGTATTGATGGAGATAAGGAAGTAGTGATGGATATCGGGGAAGTCTCTTGTGTTGCTTACATGTGCATGGTCACACTGTGTGTAGGTACAGGTATGTGGGAGAATACCTCGAGTAGTGAAAATTTATTTTTATTTTTTATTTTACCATCTGAGTGTCGTTAAGAATTTTTATTCGGTAACTGCAATACTAAAGAGAGTTAGTGCCAGTCTTCAGCTGACACCAAGTTGTACATATCTTTAGATTAGTGACGTTTACTGATGACAGGTGATTAAAAGATGGCGGTGAGTGTTATACAAGATAAGAGATAAAGCTGAAGATAAAAATCGTGGGTGATACGGTCTTGTGTTTGATGATAAATTAAAATTAGTGTGTTATTAGCGGTGTAGATGTGGTAGTGGTCGGATTGACGATATGTAAAGATGTATTGTTTAGACTTTAGATGAACGGAATGTTACATTTTCAGGCGCGTATTTTAAGCTTTAACACAACGATAATTGGACTAAATATAATATACCAGATGTATGAAGATGCGGAATACTGTTATTCAAGGAAATAATTTGGTGTAGAATCCACGATGTGCATTAACGAAAACCAGTGATTAATGGACTTTTCTAACTTAGTGCTAACGAGGTGCGCCACAGAACTCGACACTGCCTCCATTAAGTTGTGTAATAATATAACTCCATGTTGGACTGATAACTTAAAAGTACAGTTGATGTACTTAATGATGACCCATAGTGTATGTGGGCTCAGTTCCAAGGGAGCAGAACAAAGATAAAACACCAATAGGAAAGATGAAGCGATCTGGTTGAGCCCAGATTCTTTCTACTCCTACTGTATTTCAGTTTCACCACTTTTCCTTCAACCCCTAATAATCTTCTTTCACCTCATAACTAAAGACTCCGTACCGTATGTGGGCTCAGAGAACGCTAGTGTTGTTACCAAGTGGATGATCGACAGTAATATATTTCACGAGATACTTACATAACTAGAATGGCCAGGCTAGTAGTTAATTGTGAGGAACACGGTGTGATAGTGGCGCTCCCCAAGTTGGAGCCTTGACAGATATTGTGTTGTGACTGTGACAACGCTCGCCCAACTGAAGCCTGACAATGGATATTCTGGCTGGAGACATCGAGATAGACCTGCCACCAGATGAGGATGATGGTAAGACATTTTATTGTGTAGGGGAAAAAAATAACACAATCTGCACGATTCCCTTTGCCTGTTAAAATTCACATTACTGTACTGTACTTTAAAATGCAAGCTCAAGACGAGTGTCATCAGGTGCTCTGAGACGTGAAAATAGTTGGTTACGGCGGGCCAGACTGATTGGTTGGTTGTACTGTATTGCACATACTTGAAGCCGTGTGTGTCAGGGTTAGTGTTGCAGTGTAGTGTGTGGACTAATACCACTATTACAGTAGGTGACACTACCCAGCGACCAGACTATTCTCATAACTGAAGATATACTGTAGCTACGAGACTGGCTACTGATTGACCTGAAAGTGCAAAAATAACATTGAAACATGTATGCAATCGAAATTATTATATGGAATTCCTTTAACTGGATTCATTGTTTTAATACCGGACGAAAATTACGCACAATATCGAGAAGATTAATTTTATCCTTAACCTGGTAGCCTAGCATATTATTGTTTTGATGGTATTCTTTGTTTGGGCTCGATGGTTTTACTTTAGTTAAGTTGACCAGTTAACTTTTTTTTTTTTTTTTTTTTGAAACTTGACTTGCAAGGAACATGTAACCATTGGTAGTCTTGGCCGGAATTTGTAAGACAACATAAGTTACCCTTTGTGTGTTAAGGGAAATTAAATAATGCGAAGGTAAATAGTTTGAGTTAGTCTTTAGCATACTGAATGACATTTAAAGAAGTGATTGCATTTTTATATTATTACAGCAGCAGGTTCATAGATCCAATAGAACACAAGTGAATAAAAAATTATGTACTGTAGTTGAATTCCGGTAATATAAATCGTTTTTATATTGGCTACATTTGCAGGTGGCGTTTGCCATTACAGTATACTTGTACTGTACTATATTTTGTCGTTGGCCATTTTGCAATGTTCACAAGATGTTTCTTGCAAATTACTGTATCTATGTATAATTGTGTATCCTTCCAAATGAAAATGTGGTTTATGATAGACAGTATAATATTTTTCTGAATTCTCAAACCCCCCCCCCCCAAAGTCTATTGTACAGGTCTGTACTATGGATTCTTACCATACGAAAATATTTTTGGAAAATGTTTTCTTGAACTGTAATATGGACTGAAAGATCACAGCAGCTAAAGAATCATCTGTGGTTGTAAAGGCCAACCTCTCTCTCTTCTCTATTCTCCTTTTGTTCTCTCTCCTTGTGTCTTGTTTTTTTTTCCCTCACTTTATGCTGTGGCACATTTAATTCTCTTGAATAATTTTAGTTAATTCCTTCCAAGCTAATGGTTGCTTATTACAGATCCACATGTGCGAGTGTTGGGGCTACCAGATGCGGTGCGAACTGCTGGAGCGATGGTTAGACAAGAATTAGAACCCCACAATAAAGTAACCATGAAGCTTGATGTGTCGTGGACTTATCACTCCCACATCATTGGCAAAGGAGGCAACACCATTCAGCCAGTTGTCAAACGTACAGGTAATTCGCCTTTGTTAAATTACTTCGGATATATATTATACTATACTGTATTGAATTGTACGGTGGCACAATGTTAAGCACGAACAGAGGGTGTCACAACAGGTAAGATGAATGGGTGAAGGAGATTATGTATTTGCTGTGAATTCCCATCATTAGAATAATGGATAAATAGTCTTCGAGATAAAAGGGGAAAAATAGTGGATATGACTAAATGACAGTATTGTATAGTAGTGGGTTTTCCGGGTTGAAACCACCCTATATAGATCATCATTTCTAAACATGTTTGCAAAACTGTTTTGTAAATGATTATTGTAATGGTAAACAAATACAGTTTCACCAGCATGATTAATATATGCAATTTTATTATTTTTAGGTGTGAGCATTCACTTTCCTGATGGCAACAAGAATAGTGAAGTACGCAAAAGTAATCAGGTGTCCATCAACAGCCGGGGGGAGGAGCTGGTCTGGAGGAGGCACGGTCAGCCATACGGGAATTGACTCCTCTCATCTTCACCTTCACTCTCTCTGCCGCTGCCCAGTTTATTAATACCTGCATATCGGACCCAAATATGCTCATAATTCATGTACAAAACACTTATGATGTGCAGGTAGGTTTATATTAACAGCAAATTGTATCCAAAAAATAGTTTTGCTTTGTTTCCTGTGTGGAAGGCAGTTCTGTAATTGGAGAATATTTCATTATAGTACTGTATACTATACTTTGATTTTAATGCACCTTTTGAGTTTATTGATGAGGCTTTAGTCCACCAAAACCTGCTTTAATTTTAGGTGGACCTGAAACTGACAGATGACATTCCCTTATTGTGGGATCGTGGGAATGGGATGCAGCCCGTGTGAAGGAGGCAACACTGTGCATCTTAAAAGCGTATTGTGATACTCTTGCCGTGAGTAATTAGCATTTGAAGACAAATGTAATCTCACACCTGAATTTTTTTGCATCTTTGAATCGGGTTTTTTCATTGTGAATTGAGTACCTTACATTATATACATTGTTTCATCTTTCAACAGAATCAAATACCTGTGCAGATGACAGTGGAAATCTCTCCACAGCACCACACATTTGTTCTTGGACGAAATACGAGGACACTCAAAGCGCATCATGCGACTGCTACAAAGTGAGTAACTGAAGCTTCTCAAGATTATTATTGTCTTTTATTTTGTTTGTGTGCAGCAAGTCTTAAGTTGGAATTGACATTAGCTCATTGATATTATCTCTTTCTGTCTTTAATTACATGATAATTCTTTTGCAGAATAACATTCCCTGACAGTAATGATATTTCCCTGCCTCCTCTCAAGAAGTCAACTGTCACCATTTCAGGAGGCATTGATAATGTTTATCTTGCATCACAAAAACATTTTAGTAAGTAAATTTGATCTGGCTTTGGTTAGTGCTAACAGTAGAGGAACAGTGTAGGATAAGTGAAAATAGACTAACTTGTTTGTTGGATAAAAGATATTGCTACAGTGCAAACAACACGTGTTTGGTTGTTTGATGGAGTCTGTTGACAATTCTCCTGTTTACATTTTGGTGGACCAAGTGTCTGAAGACTGACACAACCCAGGCTACTTATTCGGAATGTTTCCTTTAGGTTTGACATACACTGCAGTATTTAGCATATTTGGTAAAATAGTATTAACCTTCCATGTTCAGGCAGGAATCATATTGTAGCTGATTAATGAAATACAGTATTTTGATATGTATATTTAAGATGGTGAGTAGTTTTAAACAATCATAAACTCTACAGGGTGCTCTACCACTGGTCCTTATGTTTGACTTGCTGCCCGACCAGACGGTAGACTCAAATGAGGTATCACAAATCATGCAAACTTTAGACGCTTATAGTTATAAAAAACAAGAGGCTAGATGGGTACCTGTACTCATTAAAGGGGCGGAAAGAAATGCTGGTTAGTGGTCGGCCTAATTTTGTTATTTGTAAATTCTGAAAAATAAATGAAGTTAAATAAAAACAAAATCTTATGAAATTATGATTTATAATTAAACCTTGTTGTTGGTTGAGTAAATTCATGCAAGGACCTCTCCTATATTATCTATTACAATTGATTAATGATTTCTATTTGTACTAACATGATTTCTCCTTCCCAGGTAATATATATGAGGCTTGGCGCTTGATATCACATGCAGAAAAAGCTCCACCTAAGGCCCGTATTCCTCCAACATATCACATTTCAGATGCAGCGCCACTGTTTGGCCTCACCTGTAAGTATTGATGATTAAATCACAAGTGGCAAGAGCCATTCATGATGGAGATGGTGTATGTTCTTGAACCTGGATCATCAAATTAATACCGTACTTCCTTTTAATGAGGACTTAGGTGTTTTGAGTTTCCAGGGAGCAGAGAACACATTGCACTTGGGAGCTTCCACCACTTCACAGAAAGAAACTAGCTTATTCATGAACTAGACAGTGCGATGAGAAAATTTTGTATCGAGTAAATACAGTACTGTATCATTAATCTAGTTTTATGTAATTTTTTTTATTTTTATTTATTTTTACAGAACCTACTATTATTGTGCATGCCTGATTGGACCCTTAGTTTTTTTGTTTGTTTTTTAGTGCTATTGTATTTGTTTATTTTTTTAAGTATTTACTTCTTTTATTTGTTATTCCTGTTTCTTTGTATTTCATGTATGACTGACAATCAGTATTTTTTTAGCAGATCTAAACATGGGTCAGTGGCTGAGTGGTGGGAGTGGTGGTTCTTCCCACTCCATCTCCTACAGGCACTCCCAGCCCTCAGGTTCACCCTACTGCACTGTGGGGAGGCCTGACAACCTCTAGTAGTCGGCCCCCACACACCTTTCAAGGTTCACAGTATAACAACATGTTATTCGACCATACTTGTGAGTGCACTTTTTTTTTCCTCTTTTTCCATTTTTAGTTTTTGTTTTTCACTTAGCCCTGATTTTATTTCAGGATTATTAGTTAGTATGTAGCACATGTTCATCAACTATCCCACAAGGTGAAACATGATGTCCATACCCTGTCATTATGGATGTTTTATAGCGGAGGCTGTTGATTTCACTGATTAATTACACTTGTTGTAATTTACTTATATAGCTTATGGGTGGCAGTCTGTGATTTTGATACAGGCATTTAATTTTTTACATAATTTTATATACAATGCCTTACCATTTTTTGTGTAAGTGAATACAGTATTACTTTTTGGACAGTGAGAAATAGATGTAAGAAAAATTTTTGGATTAGTGAATTTTGCATACAGTATACCGGTAGTGAACGTTCTTATAGTTGAGGATACTTGTATAATCTATTTTTTATGAAGGTTATTCTAAGTGTAACATAACCTCAAATTGGGATGGATTGTTTTTTGAAAGATATAACTGACTTGGCCTCATCAACACACGCTATAAACTGTCGTTGAACTACATGATTTTATGAAATTACTGTATCTTAGAGGCCTTAATGTTTTTCTACACAGCCTCGTACTATGCAGCAGACTTGCTCCTTCGCTCCGGCACTTCTAACTGTAACAATAACAACAGCATCATGTCAAGTAACATGAATAACAACTGCATCAAACCGAAGCATTGTGGAGGACTTGGAGTCGGTTCAGGAGTAAACCTAAATTCTCTTGTCAGTGGGATCGGCAGCATGACAGTGTCCAACGGTGCTGAGGGTATGACAGTACAGTATTTGTGTATTGTAATTATGAGGTGGACTTTTGTCCTTCCAGCTCAGACAGAGTAATACAATAATCAGCTTGCTGTTGTCTGTTTTTGTCCATAAAGATAAATTTGACTAGAATACCAAGAAAATTGTTATAGGTAGTGATGGAAGGCAATGTGAATGTGCCAAGATGGTTCCTTGAACCAAATTTTGCAGTTATGGCCTTCAGTATGGTATGTTTTAGATATTAATATTTCCCATGTTGCTAGTTTTCATGTGGATCCAATAAATAACTTTGTAAAACCAAATATTATACTGTAACCGGTCTGCATTTTAAGAAAAGTTGAATGATATTTTAAAACTGAGACTTGATTCTGATTCCTTTTTTATCAAGGATTTCAAAAATTAACTTTGTTTTGCTCTATCATGTCACACTTTATTACCAATAAGACAATATAATATAACTAAATACAAATACAACATACAAATATGACAAGAAAATACAAATAAGACAATTCAGTAGGCTTCAAAGTTAACTAAACCTTAAGATTATTGTGATTAAGGCTATTTGCTTGTAAATACAGAAAAATTATATATATTTGAATATGTATGAACATAATATTAGGCTTCAAGGATGGGTGAAACTTTCCTCTTTTTTTATTTTCTGGCAATTTTTTTACTGGCACAATCTCTCTTCAGCATGCAGCAGTAGTCTGCCATCATGTTCACCTTTCTTGATACCTCTTCAATATTTCCTTAATGTCCAGGTAAAATCTTTCACCTTCCTTGACACTTAAACTACCTAAATTTTCAGGAAAATACTCAAGATGGAATGTAAGAAATCCACCTTTACACTCATATTGCAACCCATGTTTTTAAAGTTATTCAACATACCTTCAACAGTGTTTTGATAGTTTAAATCTTTTCTATTGCCTAAAAAACTATACACAACATTCTTGAAACTATTCCATGCTTCATTCTCACACTGGTTCACCGATTCTTCAAATTGGTGGTCCAATAACTTTCGGATTTGAGGGCCCACGAAAATGCCAGCTTTGATTTTTTCATATATGACTGATGGAAGTTCCCTGCATATGTACCGGAAACAATCACTTTCCTTATCTAGGGCTTTTACAAATTGTTTCATTAACCTTAATTTAATATGCAGAGGAGGCAACAGCACTTTCTTAGGGTCAATCAATGGATCATCTAGAATAATTTTGAAGCTGGCACAAGAGTCTGTCTAGGTGGCCAGTGTTCCCCCAATGTTCACGCTTGCTCTGCTTCCCCGCTCGCACAAAAAAACATGGCATTTTTGAATCCACTTTGACCTGCCAAACAAAGCAATAAATTTGAAATCACAAACCAACCAACCATGATCTTTTTAATGAACTTTCTCTAGAAGCTTCTGCAAATTTTCATAAGTTTCCTTAAGATGAACAGAGTGAGCCACAGGAATTGATGAAAATGCATTTCCATTATGAAGTAAAACCCTTGAGACTTGTTTTTGAAGAATCCATGAACAACCTCATCAGTAGCTGTTTAGGTAATGCCAAAATAGTTAATTAAACGAGACATTTTTACAATAAACCAAGGAGCCTTCCTTTGAAAAAAATTTGAACTAGTTCTTGTTCATGTTGCCTATACACGAAAAATATGTCTCTGCTCAATAAATTCTTTGATTTCAACCTTGATCTTTAGGTTGATAAACATCACTTCATTCTGACGATGAATCGCTGTCAGATTCTGGTGACACAGACAGCAACACATCTGGTGGAATGGGGACTGGAACCTCGGGACCATGTGGCACTGGTCTCATAGCAGATGGGGTGCTGGGATAAATGATACCATGTTTATTTTTTGCATTATATCCCTCTTATCTTCACAGAGCAAAAGTAACGGTTATCACAATGATTTAGGTTCCCGCCATACCATAGGGGCTCCAAATGGCATAGCTTTTTTCCTCTCAATATTTCCACAGTCTTAAACCTTCAACACAAGTGCGACATACAGTACTTTATGTGGCACCCATGGTTTATCTAAATCTCTATTTTCACTCCAAAGTAGGCAAAAATATGCATTTTTCACCACTGTGGTTATTTCTTGTCGTTGCTTATGCACAACAGAACACCCACATATGTAGCAGAATACATTTGGATTGTTCAGACAACCACGAGAAGGCATATTTACAGCAGGAAGAGTATCTTAGTAGAGCAAAACAAGGAGATTTAACACTACAGCTGCTGATGTGACACTGAACAATGGCCTTTGCCTCAAGGATCCATTTGCCAATAAACCTTGTGTGATAGATGAAAACTGAAGTCCTATCTGAAATTAACATTAAAATCAGGTTAAGAAACACACATTACTTTGAAAAAAACCCCAAAATCATGCAGACCGGTTATTATGCTGTATACTGTATTATATTGGAAATAGGAATGGTTTAAAATTTTCAGAGAAATGGTGGGGATATGGAAAAGGTAGTTGACATTTTATTAGTTGATGTTATTGCAGATGCCTCATGTGGAACAAGTAGTAATAGTGGAAGCTCCCTCTCGTCACCAGCGCCATCTCCTCGTGACCAATCACCAGACCAAATCATCAGTATGTCCTCCTCCTCACACCAAAATCCATATGGTGATTCAGAGTCGACTCCCACAAATGGAATGAATGGTAATTGTTGCATTAATCATGTCAACACAATTGTTGTTTTGCTGTACTCTGAGCATATGGTTACAACGCATTTGTGGAAAGTCCAACTAATGCATTGAGTAACATCAATTTATGTAGATTATATCATTCTTTACCTGCATTCATTATTAACTTATTTACCTAATGGCCACTTAAACTAGAGGTATCCATGCTGAGGGAAGAAGGCCAATGGCCTGTGTAGGATCCCTCCATTGTTCTTAATAGTTTTGTCAAGGGCTTTCATTTCCTTTCTTACAAAAAAATTAAAATGTGGGTCCATTGTATACCCACTCCAAACACAGGACTGTGCCAGATTTTTACATTGGGTTGACTCGGTCTACAAATAGCTCAGGTATTCGATGTCAGTTTGAAATAGTACCATGTGGAATGAATAGTTTTAACATCTTAAAGATGGTTTGCATTTAATAATTAAGGAGTTCCTTATTGTTGCTGAAAGTTGTGATCGATGTTTTCTATTGTAGTATGAGCTGATAGGAGGCAGCGAGAGTAAAGTAAAGTGTTCCCATTCCAC